CCCCTACCTTTCCCTTTCCCTCCTGGTATCTCTATTCTCATTATTGGCCCTGAGGGCTTTATCTGTCCTGGATTCCCTGTGTTGTGAGCTCTTACCTATTTGTAACCAGGGTTGTGTAAGACGCTGACATCAGAGGGAACTGCCAAGGGCTTACAGGAATGCATTGTACTATATTTGCCACTTTTATGTAAATCCAAAATTATTCCAAAGTAAAGTTTATATAAAGCTAGAGAGCAGGTAAGTAAATAGGCTCAAAGTCCCTCAACAGGATTGAAATGAAACAAGGGGGTCGGGAGGGGCGGGGGACTCTTACTTATACAACCAGGGCTGCCTTTGTCAAGACCAAGGAACTCATTTTGACCCGTCTCTGTGCACTAGACTATAGGCTGTATTGGGTCTCACAAGTGTTTCCACTATGTTTTTTTATGTTCCAGGATCCAAAATGCATTTTGTGAAATATTTTAACAAACAAAGCAACCACCTACTCACACACTGTGGTAACTACAAATTACCATTTGGGTTTTGAAAGAGTATAGGTATGTACAGTTGTGACGGTTAGCTTTAAGGTCAACTAGACATAAGAAGACCCAAATCCTCACAACAGGACCAATAGACGGCATCATGATGCATGGAGAAAAGATGCAGTTGTCAAGGATTTTGTCCTGCATGGCTCCACAATCAACTCTCATGGAGGCAACAGTCAAGAGATCAAAGGGCATGTTTCCTTAGGTAAATCTGCTGCACAAGACCTCTTTAGAGCATCAAAACGCAAGGATGCTACTTGGAGGAGTAAGCCACGCCATGGCATTTTCACGTGCCCTGTATGCATGTGAAAGTTGGACATTGATTGAATAAGGAATAAAGAAGAAGAATCCGTGCATTGAAATTATGGTCCCGGTGAAGAATCCTGACAGGACCATGGAGTGCTAAAAAAGACAAACCAATCTGGCTGGAAGAAGTACAGCTTTGGACCTGTTGTCAGGAGCGACGAGTCCCTGGAGAAGGACATCATACTTGGGAAAGTAGAAGTGCGGCAAAGAAAGGAAGGGCCTCAAGGAGATGGATGAGCCCATGGCTGCAGCAGGGAGATCAAGCACCGGGCGGTGTTTCATTCTGTTGTGCACAGGGTTGCCGTGGGTCAGAGCCAACTGGATGGCGCCTAACAATAGACATGCCTGGGTGCCTGGGTAAAGGGAGGGGTGGAGACCTTTCTGTCCATCAGATTTCAGCCTGATGACACCTCCTTGGGGCGTGGCCTTTTCTAGAAGGGAGACCCTAAGCTCAGCTGACCTCTCTTGGCCCTTTGCATTCTGCTGGAGCTGATTCTTGCATCTGATTGGTCAATCTCCTGTTGTGTCACCTGCCAAGCAGACTGCTGACCTTGGATTCGCTCAGCTGACCTCTAATTCATTCAACTCCGCATCCACCAGCCTATGGCCCTCCTGCTTTGTCTTCCGGGTCACTGTTTGTCAGCTTCCACAGCTACATGAGTCAGAAGAGGCCCTGGCTTACATCTGACCTATGGTCTTGAACCAACTGCACTTACATACTTCTACAACTGTGTAAACCATTCCTTGACATAAAGTTCTTTTCTCTGTACATACAGACACAAGCATCACTTTTTTGCTTCTCTAGAGAACCCAGCCTAATAAATTTGTTACCAGGAGTAGTTCTAGAGAAACAAAATTGTAAATATGAGTTCACTAAATTGGTTCTCAAGTCTCAGGAGGCCTAAAGGCACTGAGAAATCAGCTTCTGTTGGTGTAAGTACAGACAGGTCTGTCACAATTAGTAAAAGGGTCCTGTTAATCCAGGATATGAGGTGGCAAAGCTGATACCCCACATAGCACCACCAACAGATGAAGTGTGGGTGAGAACTGAGGCCCTGGGTAATCACGTTGGATATCTTTCCACTATTTTGTCAGGATGAAAAGCACAGGGAAGCTGGTTGGTTGGTGCTTCTCACAGTAAACTGGAGGGAAAGAGAAATACTCAGAGCATCAGAAGCCCAGCTCAAAAGTCCAATAAAAGACCCCTGTGGGGTTAAGGGTAAGAGGGAACCCCACAAAACATCACAGGTTTGGTAGGC